CCTGTCTACACTGCCCTCTTGTGGAAGAGCTCTTACGCAAGAGGGCTTATTTCTCATGGGGAGAGGAGTAAGTCTTCCGGAAGAAGCCATTTTACAACGCTAAACTGTAAATTTACTTGTGCAAGAACGTGCATGCAATGTAGACAGCAGGCAAGTTTTTGCGTAAGAACAGTTGTTCTTGGGCAAGAAGCTGCCAGTGTAGACGTAGCCTGACAGTGTCTAACTGCTGCTTTTCGCTCATTATGCGATTTCATTTCCGTTGCTGTCTTCTTTTTAACACTGAGGTTTATGCAAGAGCACTGACGTTCTAATGTAAGAATTCAGTGCTTCTTGCACAAATACTTTGATGCTCCCGCTCAGAGATAAGCCCACCCATGCAAGAATACTTGTGCAAGAGGGCCAGTGTAGACAAGCACCTTAATTTTTTGTGCAAGAAAGCCCAATGGCTAAAATGGCCATTGGAGCTTTCTTGCTCAAAAGTGCATCTATACTGGACACGGATGCTTTTGCGCAAAAGCACTTTTTGCGCAAAAGCATCCGTGCTAATCTAGACGCTCTTTTGCGTAAATACTTTTAATGGAAAAACTCTTCCATTAAAAGTATTTCCACAAAATCATGTCAGTCTAGACGCAGACCTAGTGTTTAAGCATCTTGTCACCTGACGGAATTCACAGTCCTACACCTGTGTGCCCAGGTTCCCTAGCCAATACACAATGCCAAAGAGAGGAGTGTGACGTAAGCCCCACTCTGCAGAGAGAGTCAGTCACCTAACAGAAAGCATCTCCCTCAGCTTGAGCTTCAAATGCTCTTCTGGAGTCAGGGACCTGAGATAGATCATCCATCCCCTCCTTTCAAAAAGATATCAAGCCCAGTGGCTTAAGCACTCATGTAAGAGGTGAGCAATCCCACCTTCACATTCCCATTTTGCCTGATGTGGAACAGGAAATTGAACCCAGAAAGTTCAACTCCCATCTTCCAGGTGAGCAAGTCATCCCAGTGTACTGTATAGCTCAGTGGGTCATCCAAAAAAGCCAGGTTACAGTCCGTGTTGCAATGAATGTGGGATATGGAGGCTGATGGAGCCCACGGAGAAAAGCTTTGTAGCAGTCTGGTTGATCCACAAGACTGTCCACATGGTACGGCAAGGGGCCTGCAAAAAAATTGCTCAGCTGTTCAGTAAAGCCTCAGAACGAAGAAGAGATATCACGTAAATGAGTTCTCTGCCACAGCCTTTGAGAGTCAGTGACTTGCTCTTGCAGAGCAACTTCTGCAAGGAAAGATGGAGGATTAAGCAAGGGAATATTGTATAGAAATTGCCAGGCGAATGCTTGGCTCCCTGCCACAATTCTATAAGGTATCTGACAGAGAGCACTATGTTCCTGTCCAAGAGAATGATGTGTACTAGCACTGTTATTGCAGTGTAAATGGGCCCTTAGAGTAAGAATTCTTCAGAGGAAAGAATGTAGCTTATTCTGTTTTAAATACTGTGCATATTTATAGTTCTATATCAGCAGTTCTCACACTGCAGTTCGCAGATGACTAGTGGTCCTCGGCTGCCTTCCAAGTGGTCCAAGGCTTAAGCTCAACTCCCCTTTTTCCCCCACAATGGGGAGCCCGTGCTGGCGCTCCAGCCTTGTCCTCCCTTCCCCTCGCCCCATGGGGTTGGAACACCCATGGTCAGCTTCCTGCTGTGGGGGGAGGAGAGGGAGTAGAAAGCCCTGAGCCTTGCTGCTCAATCTAGCTCACAGGGAAGAAGTGCTTCCCCTCCCCCCGTCTCTGGCTGGGGGAACAGCTAGACAGGGAGTAACGCAAGTAAGTGCCCCCCATCCCTTCATGCCCAGGGCACTGCCAGGCCCCTCACGTACCCCTTTTCCCCCTGCTGAGACCTCACATCCCCAGCCTGCTCCTTCCTCCTCCCCCCTGGCCAGACACCTACTCCCAACCCACTCGTGCACCCACTCTTGCTCATGCACCCTTCCTCCTGGCCACACACTGAATCTTTCCTTGTTCTTGCCCCCTCCCCCTGGCTACACACCCTATTCCCAGCCTGCACCTGAATCCCACCTCACACCCAGATCTTGCAGCCTCACACCCTCCTACACCCCACCTCCCACCCAGATCCTGTGCCTTCTTTTCTTTCGCTGGCAGCCTGGTCCCACACCCTGAACCCCCCAGTTTTGTCCCAACTCCAGAGCCTCATCGGGGGCCCACAAAATCCACTAATCCTGGAACCCCAGAAGAGTAAATCTGGACTATATGAAGCCCTAATCCTCAGTCCTTCCTGACTCTCCTTTTCCCTCAGTGGGGCTGGAGTGCCAGAGGAGTGAAGTGTCTTGTTAGGGTCCACATCAATGTGGGTTGGTTTTTGGTTTTGCGGTTTTTGTTTTTGTTTTGTTTCTCACTTGTGTGGCTCCCAACTGATGCAATGGCTCCTGACCCAGAAAAGATTTCCTACCCCTACTATAAATAAAGAAAACATGGGAATCTTTTGTGTTAGACATAAATTAATATTTACTTTATTTAAAATGAAGTTTGATCAACTAACATGAGAAAGTTAAAGCACTTAGTAATTTAAATTACTATTTCCTTTCTTACTGGTTGAATTAAACGGTTCTCCCTAGCTGCAGCACTAGCAAAATAGCTCTGATGTAATTAAGCACAAGTTTCCATTAGCAACTGGTGGTCCAAAGAAAGGTTTGCATTGAGCCCATGGTGGGCCACGGGCCAAAAGTTGAGAACCACTGGTCTATAGAAATGATATTAAAACATCTCTAGAGAATAACCGAAGCATGAGCATTCAGCAGCATAAATTTACAATGAACAAATCATTCTGGACATACTTGATTGCTTTTTTTGACAGAACTGTAAAATTAGCAACTAACAGCAAAGAAGATTGCAGGTTATTACAGTATCTGAATATAAGTACTGTAGTATACTTCAGTCAGTGTCTCATGAAATCCTATTTCACACAATCTGAATACATTTCCTTGGAAAAGGCAATATCACATGGCATACAAACTACCTGATGAATCACAATCAAGGGGAAAAATCAAAAGTGATGTATCATGTTGAAAGAAGGTGTCTAGTAGATGCTTTAGGGGTCACCATGCAGGTTCAGTCTTATTTAACCACATTATTAATTATTTGACACAGGGAATAAAAAGCACACTATTAAAATGTGCCAGTATCACCATATTAGAAGGTAGTACAAACATAAGTGAGGATAGAACAAATATGAGTGCCAGTATCACCATATTAGAAGGTAGTACAAACACAAGTGAGGATAGAACAAATAATATGAAGAGAGAAGAGGATAGTTAGAAATATTGGCATGAAATAATTTGTCTTATAAAAATACAAACAAACTAATATCTGTGGTGGGAAAAGAATGAGAGATTTTTTTGCAAGTGGAGGGAGAAACCTGGCAACAAATGTCAGAGAGATGCATGGGCATGAAACTGGAAAGCAAATGAGTGAGGAGTTTGCAATGTGATATGGCTGTAATATTGCCAGGAAGATTTTAGGCTGCATAACATGAAGACAGAACATGGTAAATTGTCCAGGAGACAGACCCTCCCTATGGGTAACCCTGGTGAGACCACGCTCATAATATTGTGTTTAGTTCTGGGAAAATCAATAGCAGAGAGAGGAAGAAATATTGGACAGAGTTCAAAGGAAGCAACAAAAATATTTGAAGGCTGATGGAAGAAACTTATCCAAAAAGATGAAAGAAACAAATCATGTACAGCAAGTAAAGAACAACTAAGAATATAGCTGCACTGGAGCTGGAGGTTTAATTCCCAGCCCAGGTAGATGTACAAGTGCTAGCTATAATGGAACTAGCATGTTAAAAGTAGCAGAATAGCAGTGTAGTCACATCTTCATGGGCTTATCTGACACCCTAGCTATAGCCATCATTCTGCCTGCACTGTCATGGCTACACAGTTATTTTTAGCATGTGTGTTCAATCAAAGTTAACGTACATACAACTACCTTAGCAAAAATTACATCTCTAGCTGCAGTGCAGACATACCCTAAAACACATAAGAAATGTAGTGTGGCAAAGTTCCAGCTATTCCGCAGGGAAGAAATGTAGTGTGGCAAAGCTCCAGCTATTCCGCGGGGAATCTCACACTACTGGCGGATAGTGTAGGGTTGCCAGGTGTCCGGTATTGACCCAGACAGTTGGGTATTTTTGCCTCCTGTCTGGTAAAAAAATTCAGAAAATACCAGACACCTAAAATATCCAGTATTTTCTGGTTTTTTTCCCTGCCAGGAGGCAAAAATACCGGACACCTGGTAACCCTACAACACACTCAGCAACTGGGCCCAGCCCCTGGCCCCCACTCTGGGTCACTGCCTCCAGACCCCCTGCTTACCTAGTTCCACAGGGAAGCTCCCTTCTAGCTAAGAAGACAAGATGGCCACCAGCATAAAACCTAAAGACCTGAGCAAGGGGAAGCAAGGCCTTCCCTGGGTCTTAGTTCTCAACCTCTTCTCTTCCTATCCCTATGCTGACTGCACGCAATTAAAGGTGCCATGCTGTTTTATTTTATTTATTTATTTTTTGCTTAACTCTTGGGGTCCTTTTTCTTTTTTGCTCAACAACTTTGGTCTCCCCCCCACCTTTTTCCCTCCTTTTTTTTTTTTTTTTGGTGGGGGGGGGGGAGAGTTCGGTATTTTTGTTGAAACCATCTGGCAACCATAGGATAGTGTTGCCTCAGAGGCTCACTGTGGCCTCCAGATGGCCTCTTTCTCTTTGCTAGAGGCAGGAGCCACAGCCTACTGTGACACACTCATCACAGGACACTTCATCAGTTTGGGTAAACTCCCCCGGTAGAGGTTGAGCTGTTGGGGGGAGGTTGGGGGAACCTGGGCCTGGCTGCTACTCCAGGTTCTGGCCCAGGGGCAGCAGCAACAGGCAGGGCTACTGCCAATCTGGGAGCTTTTCCCTGGGCCACTTCCACAAACGATCCCTCCTAGCACCTTTCCTTTGGTACCTGCTTGTCAGTCCTCCACTCACCCCCACACAGCACTTCCTCCTTCCTGTCCTTCGCTCTTTTCTTTCCCCTTCCTTGCCTGGGGGAGCCCTTTTAAAGCAGCACCACAGGCCTTAATTGGCTGTAGGTGTCTAATCAGCCTATGGCTTTTAGCAAGTTCCAGCTGACCCCGGGTGCCTGATTATGATGCAGTTAGGATTTGGGAGGGGGAAAAGAAAGCAGTTCACCCCAGCCCCAGCATGTCTTTGTTTTATTAGTGTGTGGCAGACAGCTATTCTGAATCTGTCACAGTACGCATAATATAAAATAATAATGACTATTACTAGTTTGTCTTTCTTATGAAGATCCAAAACATTTGAAATTCAAAAAACAAAACAAAAACTAGAAAAAAGCTCATGAAGCATCACTACAGGGTATGAGATAAGAAAAAGACAGAACAATTCAGCAGCTCTTATATGCAGACTTTGTGGGGGTGAAATATA